CATTTGCTGTCATGTTAAACTTATATTAAAGTTTTTCTTCATTACCCATTTAAGCCGTCTCCAGCCATTATTAGTCTCAAAGTGGGTTCCTCGTCATCGAAAATGGAGTAAGACGGTTTCCCGCGGGTGGCCGTCTTACCCTAAGCCTCTTATTGTAAAGCAATTGCACGTTATACAAGATCATTGAACTTGAACTGTTTCTTTTACAGCGTATTCGACTGTCTGTAATTACTTTTTTTTTGAATAATCAAAGTGATATTCCATGGAATATCGGTTTTTTTAAACATGAAATATTTAAAGTGGTTACATTAGATCAATGTTGTACAAAACAAAAAAATTGAAGTCGTGCTGTGATAATTCACGTTCGCGGCCGTCCGTCAATTTGTTTATGCACAATACCACACGAACAATAGTTACATATAATTCACTCAGTTGGCAGCATATCACGCATGGGCACCCGCAGGTAGGGACATTTGCCCCCCTACATTTCACAAAAATTGCATGTATTATGATGAAACTTAACATCACAATTAAACTAAATATTTTTAGTAATTTTTATTTAATCTGTAAATTTGTATCTGCGTTTAAGCACACGTAACACACATTCTTTTTGTCTGTTGACTTGCACTGTAAAAGCTGATCGCCTACATATATGTGTTTGCCCCCCCCCCCCCAAATATTTCTGTTGTTGCCCATTACGTCATAACTGATGACAAACTACGGTGGACCCTAGCTTACCTCACAAATCTAGACACTTATTTCTACCATTTACTTCATATAAAACGTATAGTGCACATCTACGGTTTCAACATAATTGACTTATGGGTACTTATACAGCTCTAGTAGTTTTGATTGCCTTACACCTTAACTACTAACACTTACTGTTGGAATCCATGACAAGGAAGAACAAGTGTAAATAAAGCTGTAGAAAATCTGGAAGATCCTTAAAACATTTCGTAGCTTTTCCTAGTTCATCAAAAAATCGAAGCCACTCATCGAATTCCACGATAGTATCCTGAAACGAATGATAGTGAAGAGAGTGTAAAAAAAAATCAATAGGGCAAGATGTCATTTTCTTACTATATCAAGAGGCGCAGTTATAAATATTTTATATTACACAGAATATATAAAGCTGAGTTTAAACACTCATTATTATATATCATTGGGCTTTCAAATTACTCTGGCATTTGAACAAATATGAATCACACTCACTCGGAAGGTCTACAAAGTTAAACTTCAGTTTGCAACTCTATCATTTGAATGATAATTCAAAATCCAGATTTGGTATTATCATACGACTTTTCCTTTGGGCTCGATTAATGTTTATTTTATATTTTTTATACACCTTGGGACATTCGCATGTATTAAAAGACAGAAAAAAAAGAATCAAAAATCTTATAAAACTTTCTTAATGCTAGTAAAAGGAGATATATATATACCTAAATCACACGAATGAAAAACTTGATAAAACCCTAGAGCCATCTGTCGAAAGCGGTTTTTTTTTGTTGTTGTTGTTATTGGTCTTTTCACGTTATTTAGCAGACTATTATTATTATTTTAATTCCTTTTTTGCTATCATGGGTATATACATACATATATATACACATCTAGTTATAAGTCAAAACCAATAATACTTGTTGAGGAAATGGTCTATTTATTACTGCTAGATTTTAGCTAGAGGTCACATAAAGTAGGCCTAGAATGTTATAATCTTAACGTCAGGTTTTCTAGTACATTTGAGGATAGATTTTAAATACAAGCTAGGTAAGGGCTAGTTAAAACACAGTGAGTTGTTTCAAGCCAGTAGAGCGAATCATCAAGTGGGTTTTCGTTTCAGCCATGAAGTTACACAAGTAAGTTTATTGTTTGCATTAGTATAATGCAGTTAGCGTAACTTGTAAACGTAGCCTAAAAGTATCACAGTATTCAATCTTGTAAGAGCATTGAAAAAAGAAATAAACTAATCTGTTATCGTTACGTGGACTGGACTTTGAATTATTTTCACCAGATAAGTAACAAGAAACCGCCAAAGAAAAAACAACAATACTGTCTGCAACATGAACAGTTTGGTTATAAAATTTAGCCTACACATTCTTCTGTTGATTCTTTTTAAGATATGAATACGTTTTATGAAGCACCTTATTTTTGTTAGTTCCATAGTTTTATATTAACAGCAGTATTATCACATAATGTGAAATTGATTAATTGGTCATTAAACAGAAAGCTACGCAATAGACCATCTATACTCTTCCCACCACGGGCATTGAAACCCGATTTTTTTAGCGTTGTAAGTCTGCAATACACACAGATCTTTTTATGTAAAAGCTGATATGTGGGTGCAAACAAATTTCACCTTGAACTTAAAAATTGAAACTCTGTGGAATAAAGCTACAAATTCATTTAAGTTTTGTGTACTTTAAAAATGAAAAATATAAATTCGTGCTAGTTGTTTAACTATTAGGGAGTTCAAGATAATTATTATTATACAAACGTAACTATCCTTACCTTCAGTGTATGTGTGCTTTGAATAATTTTGTTTTTACCTTGTTATAGTCAGCATAAGAGGTCAATTCATTCCACCATTTTTCCAGTATCGACTGCCACCTCTCAAATACGTCTTTTTCTAATTTTCCCCGACGTTGAATTTTTGCGTACTTCTGCAAGTAGATAGGCGAAAAAGCTGAATTAGCAATAATAGTCACAGTTTCATATTAAACCGGTTACATGAAAATACACACGTTGTTTTAGAAAAATAAAACACTATATCTGTGTTTCATAATATCTTATGTTTCAGTTATTTCTTTTTTATTCATTTACAGCACAGGAAGTATAATTAGAGCAGAGTAACATCAATTTGCCACAAATATCTGTATTTTGAACTATTTTGTTATTTACGAGATAGGCCTACAGGTGATCGAAATCATCTCACTGTGGCTGGAAGTAGTCTCGCACTAAACCTATTACAAAGGAAGAAAAACTAAAAACTATGCTTCAGGGCACAATATGAACAAAATGGTAATGATGAAAGAAATTAAAACTGTATTTGTTGTCATGCCTGAAAGCTTAAACTTAATAAAGTTTTTATTCCTTTATCTAAACTTATTAGGCTAAACATTTATGACACAGGCCTACGGATGATCGAACTCTGCTCGTTGTGGTGATTGGGGGCGTTGCACTAAACAATACGAAGTCATTTTTTCCAAAACAGTGTGACACTTTTAGATGTTTTAGAATATCGGGGTGGTAGTTCTAAACTCCATCTGGCTACGCCCCTCGTAGTGTTAAGCCAACACTAAACCTATAAAACCCAATTAATGAGATAGGCCTATAGATGGTCGAACTCCGCCTGCAGTGGCGGTTGGCTAGCACTAAACCTAACATTTATCTTCCATTTATTATTTTGTGTATATCTGAAATTCTATTCATAACATTAAACAAAACAAAAAAGGCTCATCATATATCCTATATATACGAGATATGTATTATTTACATACTATGCATTTTGCTAAAAACCACTTTACTGTGTTTTTAATTCAGTGATATATACTAAATATTTCAAGTGTAAGTAATTACTAACTGTTAACCTTAATTTTAAATCGTGTCTCATTTCATTCATAATCCCACATATTTCTTACCTCAGCTAGCAACCGGAAATCTTCCCACGTTAACACACCATCGCCATTCACATCTGTAAGTAGATACGCAGAATTAGGGCTACTATTTTCTGACCTCTATTAACATTCTTTGTCAACAGGCGACAGCAGTGCAGAGATAAGGCGCAAATCATAATTTATGTGATTCGCCAACTGAGTAATAGGTGGACGAAGTACGCAAAGTTACATTGATCAGTGGTTACACTATTTCAATTCCAGATTTGCGGTCAATGTCGCCTTTTTGATAAAATTATTGGTTCAAGAAAGTATTCTTATTTAGTAGGTTAACTACAAAATAAAGCGAACATTACTGAATAATGTTCGTAGATATTGAAAACGTGTATTGATTTCATCTTCATAGAAACATGAATCGAAAAAGGCGTTTTTTTTTCTTTTTGCTTGTGAGGGTATTGCTGCAACGTCGTACATTGTGTAGTATAGATTAACGACAGCAATGCCCTTCACTGGTCTAATAGATGATATCTAGAGGTTACAACCTTAACTTTTGTCGTAAGAGGACGACAAGTCACATGTAATGCGCGTCGTTCTGGGTAGATCTGTTTCCTGTTAGCATGGAGCGTCGAATTCAGATTCGTTTTACTTTCACCCGAGAATATCACAGACATACCTGGAAAAGTTGAACCCGTGTTTATTCAATAGAAATAAATATAGTGAATTACTGATCCATAACTTCAAATATTCGATCATGAAACTTTCAGAAATACTAAAGAACTTGTGTATAAGTCACCGAGCTCTCTACAGGAACAGTTGCCTCATCAGGAGAACATTTAACGGAGACCCAGAAGATAAAGGAACTCTCAGGAACTCCGGATCAAGGTTTGGTTTGAATTTCGCGCAAAGCTACACGAGGGCTATCTGCGCTAGCCGTCCCTAATTTAGCAGTGAAAGACTAGAGGAAAGGCAGCTAGTCATCACCACCCACCGCCAACTCTTGGGCTACTATTTTACCAACTAATAATGGGATTGACCGTTACACTATAACGCCCCCACGAGCATGTTTGGTGAGATTTGAACCCACGACCCTCAAATTGCAAGTCGAGCACCCTAACCATATGGCCATGTCGAGCCTCCGGATCAAATCTAGAGAACGGCATGTGAATGGACAACGTTTTCTCCTTACATAGGTTAAAAGGTTCTGATTTTCTTTCACAAAAATGTTTATAAATATGGAAAACCATACTTTATGATTTTGTCTGTTGCTGATTGAGAAGATCCATACTTTGTTTTTTGTTTACTAAATACGTGTATATAAGAGTCGGTACATTCTGATTTATTTAACGAATAGTGAATGTTCTTCATTATATAGGAGCACACCGTTTCTTTGCTTGTGTTATTATTAACATTACGTATTAATCGAAATATACTTGATTCAACAAAGAAAAAAACTGATGTTTTAACATCTTAATGCAACATCAACATAAGCACCAAGTAAGAGATATTTTTAAAACTAGACTTCAAAATAAGGAAAATATATTTTTAAATATCAGTATATTCTTTACCAAAATATACATATGCATTTTTTTCATCGTTCATGAATACAAATTTCCAGAAATAGATTATAATCTGTTACTGTAAGTGATAAAGTGACACATTTAAAATAATTCGCAGTATTATTGAACTACGACACGCTTAAAACAACATAATTAGAGTAACTAGCAAATGAAAATCTAATTTTCACACATCTAACCTTTGTAACTTTATAATTCGAAGTATAAAAATATACTTTTATCACATAAAGAGATATTATTTTAATATCAATCAAAATAATGTTATATAATGTTCCTAGAAGTCAAATCTATTGTATAATCTAAATTATTTAACCTAGATTTTCATTCTAAATGTAACATAATTATGTTTTTATCTAGAAATAGAAGCGATACATTATTTATTAATTTCAATAATCAAAACAAAAATTAATTAAATTTTTCTATAGAACAGGTGATTAAAAATTAAAACTTCTGTAGAACACAAGACATAGTTGCAGGGTTTTCTCTCAAATGGTACTAGGTATCTTCTTTACAAAATATATATTCAGTTAAACGTTGCAACTCACATTTGAGAGTGTTATTTTTTCATTTGACCACTATATTAAAATAAATTGCTAGTGTCTTTTCGCGATTTGCAATTGATTTAAGCCTCACATTTAAAATGCAGAATTAATGAACATTTTAATATCAAGCTAGTCAAGTAATTTTACAATGACCTCTGGTGATGTTTTAACTTTGGAAGATGTTATTATATGAAAAATTATATATATATATTTCAGAGCGCATGTTATTTTACAATTTTTCTGGCTTCCTAACAACCTACTTTTAACTGAGGCATATATATATCTGATTCTCGGTTTTGCTATAAGGTCTGAACAAAAATTCCCATATTATGCAATAGAATTTTATTTTATTTTCAGTGCAATGAAGACTTTGGTGTACCACTTATCATTTTAGTTTACGATCAGACTTTGTAGTCCCACCAGATTTCCTATTTCTTTCGTTTCACAATAGGTGACGCTACTAAACATATGAGAAGCGACAACGTGAGTGCTTGTTATCTGCTTGCCATAGATGTTCATAAACTTTTGCCGTTTTTCATTCTAGGTGGCGCAGAAAATATATTCTACTTTTTTGTTTACCAAACTATATCCGAATGAAAAATTCATTCTACTGTTTTAAGCAGAAAAAACAACAAAAAATAAAATATACGAATTCCGAAAAAACAATAAAATATCGAAATATTACTATATACCGTAATTCTCTGTGTGGTATTTGCAGTTTTACACAGTGTTTTTAATAAAACCTTGTTTCGTGGAATCCAGCGTCATTCACTGATCTCGAAGATACAATTATGTTAAATTAAAGAAACGAAATGAGAAACGGTTTTAACTGATAAACGAGTTTCTATTTTAATAAATCTCTAGCGTTTATCATTTTGCCAAACAATTGATTTACCAGATAAATCAGTCATTTTCAATAGCAAGAAAGACATTGAATATCTTGAACAAGCATTACCTTCTACGTTCCTTAGTTTGTAGAATAAATATCAAGGGAAATATTAGTTGTTTAATACACCTGCTTCTAAAAAAAAAAAGTTACACGAATACCCATTATCTGACTTGGATTAACCACAACTGGATGATCTTGAAAACTGCTGACTTTCAAAGATAATTGTATATATATAAAACACCTGTTTACTATTAACATATTTGGGAAATGGAAATGTTTGTACACTTCCTTATCTAAAAGCCTACGAAGGAATGAGGTAAAATGTGTTCCAGAATAGTTTCGTGTATTTTTCTTTGTTTTAGTGCAAAGCTACACAATGGGCTATATACATTCTGTCTACCATGGAGAATCGAACCCGTTGTAAGTCCGTACACATACTGCAAACCCACAGAGGAGCCCACCAGTGGCACAGCAATATGTCTGCGGACATACTATACTAGAAACCGAGTTTCGATAGGCGTGGTGGGCAGACCACAAATAGCCCATTGTGTAGCTTTGTGCTTCAAACAAACAAACAGAGGGGATTTCGTGTACTGAGTAATTTTGATGACTTTATGATGTTATCCAAATAATATAGCAAAAACTGTGTGAAAATTGTTTTGCTAACTGTACTAACTCATCTTCCACATGAAGCAAATAATAATGAATATTTGTTCCACTCCTGCAGTGATGAGTATTTCTTTATTTCACGCAAAACTGAAGGCGTAGCAAGGGTTCTCAGCACCCGGGGACAAAGACACTTTTGGCGCCCCCACCTCTGAAATTTTTGATTATTTGTTTTGTGACTCATTACCCACTTAATGACAATAACCTAAAGAATTAATTACCGCCTTACACAGGCCTAAAATAAAGTCACAATATAACATCTCACGATATCACAACTGTAAACCTGAAACTAATGAAGTATAGCCTACTAGGTGTACTTACATAGTTTGTAAACTATTTTGATATTTATGTCATCCAGTATTGTTCAAAGTCACATAGCTAAAGTCATCTTTCAAGCAAGCAGAATAAATTTTTGTTATATCCCAAGTT